TCGTGCGCAAAGATACGGATTTCTACGTGACGCGCAATTTGCAACGCGCATTCGAAGCTATTGACATGCCCACGAAATGCATTCCGGGATCGTCAAGCGCGTGCGCGTACACGCGCCGCTCCGGCGCGCGCGCGCACAAGACGCAAACCGAAAAACTTTCGAGCGCGGCGCTCAAGGCTCGAATACCGCTCGCGTGCGCTCGAAAAGTTGTCGATGGTATCGCGTATGTTCGGAAAACGTGTAAATTGTAATATCAAGACTAATACTAAGACTCATGAAAGCGCATCCATAGCAAGGAAAGATTAACATTTTTTTTCGACCAATTCAATGCGAAGAAGACGGCGCAGTGCTGGATTACGAGCTCGGCGCCAAGGCCCGCATAAGTCGGACGATTTTCAGCGATGATGGATTTGTTCGACGAAATAACGGAAACACCGGAAAATGCACAACAAATGTAATCTTTTGTAATCTACGTTCTACCAGGCGCGCATACATTACTCGAAAGGGGGAGGAGTAATGCTATCCCCGTGGTTCTCACCACGTCTCGTGTGTTCCTTATCATGAACTGAGCGGGCGCGGGCGTCTCGAGCGCGTCCACGGTCTCGAGCGCGTCCACCGAGGGGCGTCGTTCGCGGCGGCGCGAGACATGGGGTGATGTCGGTTCGCGCGGCGCGGCGTCGCGCACTCGCGTCGAGCGCAACGTTCGCGGCGACGGTGGTCGATGAAGTTGAATGAATTGAAATAATTCTGCGCTAGCGGTTCCCTACTCTATCTCCCTCATCACATCGGCACGTAGTTTGTGTCCTCGGCGTGCGCACCTCCGGCGTAATACTTTGAGTACCAGCGCACGAAGCTGTCCAGTCCCTCGTCCAGGCTGATGGACGGGTTATATCCAAGATCCTTTTTCGCCGCGCTAATATCCGCGTGCGTGAACGGGACGTCTCCCGTCTTGGGCATTGGGACGTAGTTACGATTCGCCGTCCTTGACCAATCCCGTGAACGCGCTCCGCACCTTTGTCGTGAACGAACGCGTCGTCGACGCGGCGCTCGGCGGCTCGCTCGGCGCGAGCACCGCCCCTCGGACCGCGTCGAATGAATCGCGACGCGGGCGGGCGAACGATGGGAAGGGGTGGTGGCGCGTACGGGCGTGGGGTGGGGCGCTCGGGGTGGATGTGATGGCGGTGGACGTTGCGAATGATTTCGGCGCGCGCGCGGGCGTTTGAATTCGACGGCGGCGCGTCGATGGATTCGTGGACGCGCGCCGTGGTGGACGGATCGTTGTGGCGTTGGTGATGCGTGAATGATGTGTTTGTTCGTTCGTCGTTCGTCGCGAACGAGGGAGATGCGCGTGGCTCGATGACTGACGGTCGCGGTACGTTTCGCGTCGCTCTAGCGCCGGCGTCTCCGCTGGAATCCGTCGGATGGTACCTCAGTCTTTACTGGCCGGCGATGCAAAAGGAGTTCAAGGGGATCGTGCAGAGGTACGATGCGGACTCTAAACACCACACGGTGCGATGGGACAACGCCCCGCGCGGGAGCGATGGCGTTACGGAGGTTGATTTGTCGGAGGGCGAGCTGACGTGGCTCAAACCTCCGGAGAAGGCGGGCGCGAGAGAATTCGTCAATCATAGGCTTCATTCGTAGTGGTATTTATTTACACCTCGCGTCGCGTTGGACTACCGGCGCGTGTCTTTGGATTCTTTGCGATTCCAACCACCGTTCACGCCGCCGGCTTCTTCTTCTTTCCAAACAACGAACCGAAGATACTTCCGCGTTCACACGCGCATCGCTCCTCCACTGGGACGCCCGCGAGCGCGCTCTCGATGTGCATTCCGCATCCTACGCGTCGTCCGTGTGTGCCCTCGTCAGTCCCCTCGTCGATCTCATCGTCTCATCGTCGTCGTCGTCGTCGTCGTCGCGATGAAGACGCGCGCGCACGCACCCGCCCACGTCGGTTTGTCGCACTTCGAGCACTGCACGCGTCGACACATCGTGAGACGACGACGACGGGCGTGAAAGTGTGCGCGATGCGCGATCGAGGGGCCGACTCTGGGCCGACTCTGGTGGTGCCGAGGGAGTGGATGTGTGGTTGAGTTTTCGTTAAAATTTTCACTCACGTGCGTCCGGCGTCGGGGGATTCGGGCTTTAACGGCGTGAGCACCACGGGTGGGGCGGCGTGGACGTTTGGGACGCCGGCGAGGGGTCGGCCCCACACGGAGTCGGCGCGCGTCGCGCCGGTGGCTTCGTCGCTTCTGGTGAAGACGATGTTGCGAGCGACGGATCCAGAGGCGCCGGGGACGCAATAACTGGGAAGAACGACCATCGGTTGCTCACCCTCGGCGGTAGTCACGACGCGCTGAGAGCAGAGCACGGGGGAGAATAACACGGCGCGATAATCGCGCGGGTCGTCCTCTTCGCCCTCCAGACGAACCGTGGCAAAGTATCCGGCGTCGAACCCACCGTCGATGACGCCGGAGACGAATCGTCCAAGAAACGAGACATCGCCACCCTTAAAGTCTCCTAATCCCGCCTCGTACTGCATCTCGGCGCGAATCATCATGTCCGCTTGCGCTTGTGACGTTCGTTGCGCGCGAGCGCGGAACTCGGTGTCTTCTGCAGTATCCATCGGTTCCGCCAGTTCTTTGCGCTTACGCGACGACGGAGGCCCGCGCGTCGTGTCTAGCCAATACGTTCGTTCTTCGTCGGGAAGCTCGCGCCAAGCAGCTGCGAGTGCCTTTGCTATCTGAGCACTATCCATATCTCGATACTTTTCGGCAAAGTTTGTCGTCTCGTACGTTTCAAAGAGTTTTTGAGCCACCGCGCTGCGCTCTGCGGCATCGCTTGAGCGCGGTCGCGCCACCTCTGGAGTAGGCGCAACGGGCGACGTCGTCGAAGTTCTTCTGTCCGACTCGATTTGCAAACTCTCCGGAATGCGGATACGCCTGATCTCTTTGCCCGTTTTCCTGTTCATGAGAATGTCAAACTTTTTATCCTCGCTCTTCACCCACTCCCACGGATCGCTCTCTGGCGACTCCGCGCGATCTTGTTCCGAGCTTGTGTCGAACGAAGGCATTCTCTCGTGGAGGTCCGCCGCGTCCCACTCGTCATCGTCAAGGGGTGCCAATCGAACGCCTGGTGTTGCTAAGCGACCCTTAGCTTGCTTCGTGGCCGCCTCTTGCTTCTGCTTCGCCGAAGGAGACTCCGCAAGTGGATGATTCGTTTTCGCCCGGTCAGTACTGTCCTGATTTGTATCCTTGACTTTGGGCGGTGACGCAACTTTTGACGTGGACACACCATTTTTCTTCGCAGAGACTGGTTGCGGTGGCAGCGCCACCACTGCGTGGACGTCGTCTTTCGTCCCCTTCTCAGCCTCATCGTCGTCCTCATCGTCTGGAGGCGCGAGTTTCACGCCGGGTAACGGGATTTGCACCGTGTTGGGACGACTCGAAACCGCGGTCCCTGACACTTCGACTGCCTGCGTGGTGATCTCCTTCGTTGTCACTTTCACCGGTTGAGCCTGCTTCTTGGGTTGTGCCTTCGACTTCTTCGTGTTCGCCTTTGATTGGTTCTTAGAGGAATCGCTAACTGAAATATATTTTGAGGCGGCAGCAAAGCGTATTCCTTCTGGCAGAAGGCATACCTTCGCTGGTTCCTCCTTTTGCGATACTTCCTTCTTCGCCGGTTCCTCCTTTTGCGATACTTCCTTCTTCGCCGGTT